GAAAGAGTTTGGGTAGTTTGGATGGTTTGGAAGATGAGGACGTGAGGTGGGAGGAGAGGAGAGTGCACTTGGAGTGTGAGAAATTGACAGTGGCTATGATTTTGGGAGGTGGGGTTGGCGGGTGATGAGGTGGAAGGAGGGTGGTGGGTGGTTGTCTCTCAACAACAAAGGGAAATCAAGGGGGAAGGGGAGAGGGTCTAGGTGGTTGTTGAGTTGGGGTTCTGGGTTCGTTGGGAGGGGGTCTGCGAAAGATTTTTTTCTTTTCTTTTTCTGTAGTTGTTGGCTTGGGTGGAGGGTTGAGAGGAGCTGGGGTTCTGGGTTCATGGGCAGTGGCAGACCTGTGTAGGCGTAAGGAGGTGCAGGGTTGCAGGAAAACTCCATAAAAGCTGCTGAAGTTGCACCTCTGCTGATCGATGAAATGCGCAAGTGAATTGCGCTGTTGTGCGCTGCTCTTGAATGAAATGATGGAGGATGGGGTGGATCCCAACACATTTACTTACTCATCCTCTTTGAAAGCATGTGCCCAGCTAGAAACCGTTCTGCAGTGGAAATTGATTCACTCCTCTGCAAATAAAAGTCCTGCCATGTCTAATGTTTTTTACTGCATGCCAAAATGGAATTTGGTTTCTTGGAAGGCTATGATAGTGGGTTATGCAAAGAATGGTCTCTGCCAGGAGGCTATGAAGTTCATGTATCGGATGCGAACAGAGGGTTTTGAGGTGGATGATTACATCTTTGCCACTGTTCTTACTGCATGTGGAGACTTCCTTATTTAAAATAATAATAATAAAAGATTAAAAAAGGGGAAACTGTTGGGCCATTCGTGGGCTTCTAAAAGGCTTTTATAATTCTTACCTAATTAGGTTTTAATTAGAATTTATCTTTATTCAATTGGGTTTTGGGAATTCCTTATTTAAGTAGGATATTTTACATCACCCCTGCATTTTTTTTTCTTCTTGAGTCCTTATTTTTTTTATTTTTTTTGTTGTTGTTGTGGTTTTAGCTTTTAGAAATTGCACATCCGTTGAAAAATTCCTAAGTCTGCCGTTGTTCATGGGGCCAAAGGTGGAGGGTGGTTGTTGAATGGATTTGGGTGGAGAGTGGTTGTGGGATGGGTTTGGGGGTTGGAGCTTGAGAGAGAGAGACAGAGAGAGACAGAGAGAGTGAATGGAATTGGACGCTTGGACCAATGACGGCTATCATCGCATCTGGTTGGAATTGAACCCTCAGTTCCTTGTGATCTCATCAATTTTAGTCTATTATTTGATTACAAATTTCTGGTTATTTATTTATCTAATTTTTGGTTTGATGATTTCAGTTGTCTTCCCTGTGGGCATGTATTCGGCATGTTGCATAACAAAATGACTACAACGTAGAAATTCGAGAAAGGTAGTGATTTATTTAGCAATCCCACGATTTTATTTCATTTTTCAGTATTTATTTATTTTTAACGTACGAAATGACCAATTTGTCCTCATATTTAACAGCAACCTTGACATAATGTAACGGTAAGACCAATGGAGCGATTAATATATAGTTAATGTACCATTTAAACAAATAATTTAATTGAGGGACCAAAATGTAAATCGAGTACAAATTTGAGGACCATTTGAGTAATTTACTCAATATTCAAACTATTATCTTTTCTAATCTTAGATATCATCAGCACATATTTTAAGCTATGTTGATCTACAATACAAGTAACCAATGCATGTTCATATAAATAAATAAAAAAACAAAAAAACCATGCAAGTTACCATCAGCCATCAGAAGGTCTAGTCTCTAAAAGCAGTTTGTGGGTTAATAATATACAAATTTATAAATAAACCCAATCCTAGACATGTATTTATAAAAAAACCCAAGCACTATTTAAACATGGGTGTGTTTATATGTTTAAATAGTGCTTGGGTTTTTTTATAATTTCAACCCCCATTTTGGGTGTTTTAGTGAAACTCCCTTAATAATATTCA